TCGCGACAAGTCTAACTTGCGACCATGCAGAGATACAACAGCTCTGTTTGCCTTGTAAGCAGTTGAAAGTCCAGTTGCACGCCTACAGTTAAAATCTTCGAGAAGTCAAACGATAGTTCATTTTAATGGTGGCCATCACAGCGAGCGTGACACTATTTTATTGAAAGTACTTCCTTTTTGGGCAGCCTACCTTCCATAATACCTGCCATTCCGGATCCTGGAAATAACTTTTTATGTTCGGAAGCAACCTCTCTGCAAGAATACCCTCGTATAAACAGGGCCACATGTATATTCCAAAATAGTACTTAAAATTCATGAGGCTCCGGAATCGGGTTGACAAGGATATGACGGGCCGCACCACCGAGGTGAACGTGTGAATTAGTGTGCGAAATGCCTCAATCCAAAATGTTTTGGGAATGAGATAAAAACACTACCTCTAAAGATGGGCGGTTCTAAGGGAGCAGTCAGATTAAACAGGCTGAAGAATATTGGTTTTTCACACTCAAAACTGCAACTTTTGCTACTCAGCTGGATGAACAGTGGTTTTCTAGGTGAGCGCTACTCTCATCGTTACCGTTGAATCAATAAGAAGGCATGCTTTATGGTGAAGATTTCACAGTCCAAATTACTGTAGGACACAATAATCCAACCCAAGTAACTGGTGTTGTAGGGGGTGACACATTCAAAGAAGCGCTCCAAAGAATGACCAAAACTTTGTTCCGTGAGGCACTTCACTTTATACAGGCATTTTACTGTTGAAATTCTATGGTAAACAGACGCATGCTTTTGCCACAGCGACCTCTAAACCCAGCTCCAATCAATAGCAAGTAGGAAAAACTGTGCACTTCGAGTTTGTACACTGTAAACACAGCCCTATCAAAAGATATCTATCTATAAGGTGCGTACTTGCTCAGTTACCGAAAATATGATCTTCGAAGTATGGAGATATCTTGGGGACCTCATAGCTCCCTATGGCCGATTGGGCCATTCCGCAGGGGGAAGGAGCAAACTAAGGCCGGCCTTAGAAGTTACAACTAATGGACTAAAAACCTATGTTCCTTTTTCGATTCTCCCTTAAATGTCTTGTTTTTTTTCCAGGAGGGTTAAACTCAAGTACCGTTAAAGCGATTGCTGATACAGGCTCCTTCTTCCTATTACGTTATTCGTTTTATCCGGCCTCTTCATATCAGTTGATGCATACTTCGGATGTATGGAACAACGTTCCAGATGTATGGATCAAAAAGTGTGCCACCTCAGAAACCACTTCCAAGAGAAGTGCAACTAACGATGTGCGTTCTCTTCGGAGGAAACACTGCATGTATATAAGTGGATGTGACCAGAATGAAACGGAAATTGTTAACTCCTCACAGTAGACAGAAACCCCATTCAGTCTGCCAGACTTTCGAAAATATGGCAAATATTTCCAAACCCGTTCAAATATTGTACACTCTTACGGTAAACGTGTCAAGTTATTTTAGATCAGTTACAAAGATTGCATAATTTGTCGCCCTATCAGCCTCGTCTGAATAGCTTTCATCTCAACAGGCACGACTGTCTTACAACACACACCAATCATCGACCAGTTTAGTCACCCTAGGGAATATATATTCTACGAAGTGGGAAAAATGACCCTAATTATATTTCAGCTACAACTATGACTATACTTTTGGCCGTATAGTTAAGTTATTGAAGGCTGATTTCAGATAGCCAACAGAAGACCTCCATTATTAGAAAGCCAGCGAAGCACACCATATCTTCGCAGTCTTTCATAACAACTTATGGGTTCTTAGGTTGAATGGATTTCACCTCGCACATTTCACCGGTTATCGTGACTTGGGTGAGCCCTGACCTTGAACCCCTTGTGTTCGTGTGCGTGTGTGTTAGAGGCGGTTGCGTGATTTGTAGAATACACATGCGTATCACTTGCATTTGGACGGCCGTCACCTGCACTGGCGCAGTTATACTAGTTGAGTACACAATATACATGGAAACACTCGACCCGAGTTTCACTCGCATTAGAGCCCGTTAGCAGTGCACATCCTTGACGATACCGGAGCTCGAACTCCGGATATCTGACAGGCGAATATCTGACAACTTCTCCACCAGCGCACAGTGGAAGTATCTAGACTTTCAAGTCTGAATAAGCAGTGTTCACGCTCCAACTGTGATACAGTTTACCATTTGGTGGGAGCTCACCATACTAAATACGCCAGGACGACAGAATGACTGCGTAGGGGTTGGAACGCAACAATCAGATGAATTATTGGATGGTTGCTGAAGTAGTTAAGCAGTTGTTCGAGGCAGACGTTTCCGACATACGTAAGTTTGGTGGTCCCATCTACATTTCTGTTTACCAATGTGTCCTAGAATGACAGTGTGTTGTTTTCCCACTCCGTCTGGTAGGCTAATCTCACCAAATACAGATTCGAACCATTTTTGTGTACTTTCTACTGAATCGCGTTTGGCAACGACGAAAGTGTCGTCCATGTTCACAGATGTGAGTCGATGGCTGAAAGTGCGAATGCACCACCCCCTCGGCGATATTGTTCATCCCAGTAGACTTCATTTCAACAGCCGAATTATCTGACCATCAAAGCTGGATTGTGCCTTCATACAAAAGTCCAAGTAGATGCGGAGATTCCCTGTCGCGTTATTTTGATCAGGTATAGGTTCTCTTCTCGTCGGACTTATCAGTCGGCTCGCAAGTGTCTTTTGAGCTTTCTAGGAGATATTAATGCGCCAAATAGCTGTCAATATTTCGACATACTTTTCTGTATTGTGTTTGAGTTGATGTGAAGTAGTTCTATTACTGTCTCCCATGGAAGTCTGAGAAAACCTAAGTTAAAATGTGGTAAACGTTTTGTAGCGTCAAACGACGGCGTAATTTCATCCCATTCTACTTTGATGTTCTGTGGATCTTTCAAAGATCGACCGCTGTTGTATATTGTGGTCCTTCAAACTTTCCGTAGATGCCTCGCCGATTGGCAGAAATGAATTTCCGCATGAGACAAACGAAGTCCCTTCTATCTCATCTCCTGTAGCAAGCAGAATTCTGCAATTTTGGAATCATTCGCCTTCATGACCAACCACCTCACTGACTACATTTAGCTTTCAATTTCCTTTTAATTCGACTGATATCAGGTTAAAACAAGTGTCATGAATGCTTGACCAGGATCATTTAGCGATTGTTTTCTCATTGCAGTGCGATTATCTCAGTATGACTATGAATTGTTTTTATCTAGCGGTGTGCCGGCGGATACGCACGAGTATTATGTGGTTTCCACGTAACTCACCTCGCGTCTGATGGAAGGTGCCGTTTATTACGGAACCTGTGGAACTTATTTGCGACGTTCGTTTACAAATGTGTGACAGCCAATGAATGTCTACGAAAGTTCAAGAAGACGCCTGAGGATTTTCAGCATCTGAAAACAAGGTACATATGAGATGGTTACTTTCCTGTTTAATAGTTTTTAACCGCTTATTTAGTGTTTGCTAATGAACAGCTCCACGGCGAAGGTCCTTCCCCCTTTCGCCGATAAAGGTTGCATGCTTCTCTTCCATTTGATTACTGGTACAACAGTTTAAGGGGCTTGCTTCTGAACCTTCACAGATATCGCGTTTTTTTAGCGTAGGATTCGAGTTTTTTAAGGAGGCTTTGGTTCTTCGAACTTTAGGTGACTCGTAACAGCGAGCTTCCATGTCACCTGAACCACCGATATTGTCCCTAATTGTACGCTTGCTTAATCTGAAGTGCGTGGAGGGTGACAGCGGTTGTAATCTAGGGCTTACATCTTGTGAAATTGATTGCATCGGTAATTCTGTTAACGTTCAACTTTCGGAGTTAATCCTTTTCTTCAATTGGATGGCCGCACTGAAAGTTTCATATGGTGAATTAGAACTATGGGCACTCTGCATCATCCCTAAAATTGTAAAAACACAGTGTCGTTTTACGCATTAGACGTACTGGGTGGTTGGGTATTTAGTCCGCATAAATTGCAATCAGGATCTCTACGTGAAAATATTAACCCTGTTGGATATGCTCCTTTTGATCCAGCGCTCGTTCTATATGAATAGCATGTGTAAGCACCTTGTTAATAAAGTTGAGAGTAACTCAACCAACGTAACGAATGTCTCTTTCGAAGACGTTGAAGCCTCTTTGTACAAGTGCGAGTTGATCGCACTACTGATCAGCTGCTTGCAACAAGGAGGCCGCAGGTTCCAATGATCCTAGAGCTTTGTGAGAGGCATGCTACAGTTTTTTTACAACTCGGGTTAAAACGGACTTTTATTCCTTTTTGGCTTTTTGGCACTAAGTGACTTTATAATAAAATAAAATCCTCACTAAAAATTAACTGTATTTGTCTCACAAAGCTGTAGATGAAACAAATATAAGACAAACGACTGTAGAGCATAGTTGTCCCCCATAAAGACTCACAAATTTGACTACTGTAAAGAATAAGGTGAAAATTTTTCCCCATGCTGAGGCACTCATTGAAGTTTGGAAACTGGACGGATAGCAGCACTGCCAAGTGTGAAGAACGCTGCATACGAAATGTGGTCATGCTTGTTAAGTAGAACTCGATGACATTCTTCAGGGCACAATTATGTCTGCCAGGAAGCTCGATCATTGTTCGGTGATGCCGTCTTTCTAGAACATGCCGCGGATGGAGCTAATTTGTTCACTAGCTGTCTGCCGAAAAGTTCATGCGAAATTCCATGTGAATTCTCCGATGTAAACCTGAAGAAGTAGGGTGTGTAATCCCCGACGGATTCTCGTGTGCACTCTAGACGAGTTCACTTTGAATCACCGTTCTTGTTCAAACATCGGTGAAACGTTACTACAAACATCACGGTGACCTTTGCTGCGTGTTGACGATATAAGTGCGCCAACAAGGGTGTTATTTGCATCCGAGTAAAATGCAACGTGTTTGTCTGTTTTACCTGCTCACTCATATACTGTCCTACACCGACGCCTACCGATTGGTACGTAGCGGCTGTAGCAAATTGAATAATGCGTATTCTGCGTCCAGGATCCAACAAGACTACGTCAGCTATATGAGGAATTCAAAAGGAACTACAGCAAATCCTATGAGGTTGATGGTCAGTTTGTCGAGTCAAGACAGTTATTTGTAACTTAGACGATATCAAGCGTTTCAATATTTTCGAGGACAATCTAAAACAAGCAGAGTTTTATCAAACTCTTGAACGTGGAACAGCTCTTTACGGTGTAACGCGGTTTTCGGATCTCACTGGTAAGATGGCGTAGTATGGTGTTGATTCAAGCGATATATTAAGCCAGTTTCAGTTACCCATTAATCATTGGAAGTATAATTTCCATTCCTTGACCTAAGGGCTTCAGTAAAGTAACTTCAGCAATCTGTATAGATTGCCTTGGAAGAAGTCCCACTTACGTGGCCTTTGCATTTCCATACTTGAACTGCAGGCGACGAATTTCGGGAAGCCTTTTTGGGCCTTCGCCGTGATCAGCAATACTCGACGACGTCGCACAGTTATGTGAAAAAGGACTCCGTTTCCATCCCCCAGGACTACGACTGGCGAGTATACGGTGCTGTTGGGCCAGTGCTGGATCAGGGTCACTGTGGTTCTTGCTGGGCATTTTCCGTCATCGGCAACATTGAGGGTCAATGGTTTCGTAAAACTGGTCAGCTCGTTAGTCTGAGCAAACAGGTAACTCTTGACATACTTTATATTGATGGGTTCCATGGTGGTTTCCACGTAACTCACCTCGCGTCTGATGGAAGGTGCCGTTTATTACGGAACCTGTGGAACTTATTTGCGACGTTCGTTTACAAATGTGGGACAGCCAATGAATGTCTACGAAATCGCCGATAACGGCTACATGCTTCTCTTCCATTTGATTACTGGTACGACAGTTTAAGGGGCCTGCTTCTGAACCTCCACAGATATCACGTTTCTGTAGCGTAGGATTCGAGTTTTCTAAGGAGGCTTTGGTTCTCCGAACTTTAGGTGACTCGTAACAGCGAGCTTCCATGTCACCTGAACCACCGATATTGTCCCTAATTGTACGCTTGCTTAATCTGAAGTGCGTGGAGGGTGACAGCGGTTGTAATCTAGGGCTTACATCTTGTGAAATTGATTGCATCGGTAATTCTGTTAACGTTCAACTTTCGGAGTTAATCCTTTTCTTCAATTGGATGGCCGCACTGAAAGTTTCATATGGTGAATTAGAACTATGGGCACTCTGCATCATCCCTAAAATTGTAAAAACACAGTGTCGTTTTACGCATTAGACGTACTGGGTGGTTGGGTATTTAGTCCGCATAAATTGCAATCAGGATCTCTACGTGAAAATATTAACCCTGTTGGATATGCTCCTTTTGATCCAGCGCTCGTTCTATATGAATAGCATGTGTAAGCACCTTGTTAATAAAGTTGAGAGTAACTCAACCAACGTAACGAATGTTTCTTTCGAAGACGTTGAAGCCTCTTTGTACAAGTGCGAGTTGATCGCACTACTGATCAGCTGCTTGCAACAAGGAGGCCGCAGGTTCCAATGATCCTAGAGCTTTGTGAGAGGCATGCTACAGTTTTTTTACAACTCGGGTTAAAACGGACTTTTATTCCTTTTTGGCTTTTTGGCACTAAATGACTTTATAAAAAAAATAAAATTAACTGTATTTGTCTCAAAAAGCTGTAGATGAAACAAATATAAGACAAACGACTGTAGAGCATAGTTGTCCCCCATAAAGACTCACAAATTTGACTACTGTAAAGAATAAGGTGAAAATTTTTCCCCATGCTGAGGCACTCATTGAAGTTTGGAAACTGGACGGATAGCAGCACTGCCAAGTGTGAAGAACGCTGCATACGAAATGTGGTCATGCTTGTTAAGTAGAACTCGATGACATTCTTCAGGGCACAATTATGTCTGCCAGGAAGCTCGCTCATTGTTTGGTGATCCCGTCTTTCTAGAACATGCCGCGGATGAAGTAAATGTGATCACTAGCTGTCTGCCGAAAAGTTCATGCGAAATTCCATGTGAATTCTCCGATGTAAACCTGAAGAAGTAGGGTGTGTAATCCCCGACGGATTCTCGTGTGCACTCTAGACGAGTTCACTTTGAATCACCGTTCTTGTTCAAACATCGGTGAAACGTTACTACAAACATCACGGTGACCTTTGCTGCGTGTTGACGATATAAGTGCGCCAACAAGGGTGTTATTTGCATCCGAGTAAAATGCAACGTGTTTGTCTGTTTTACCTGCTCACTCATATACTGTCCTACACCGACGCCTACCGATTGGTACGTAGCGGCTGTAGCAAATTGAATAATGCGTATTCTGCGTCCAGGATCCAACAAGACTACGTCAGCTATATGAGGAATTCAAAAGGAACTACAGCAAATCCTATGAGGTTGATGGTCAGTTTGTCGAGTCAAGACAGTTATTTGTAACTTAGACGATATCAAGCGTTTCAATATTTTCGAGGACAATCTAAAACAAGCAGAGTTTTATCAAACTCTTGAACGTGGAACAGCTCTTTACGGTGTAACGCGGTTTTCGGATCTCACTGGTAAGATGGCGTAGTATGGTGTTGATTCAAGCGATATATTAAGCCAGTTTCAGTTACCCATTAATCATTGGAAGTATAATTTCCATTCCTTGACCTAAGGGCTTCAGTAAAGTAACTTCAGCAATCTGTATAGATTGCCTTGGAAGAAGTCCCACTTACGTGGCCTTTGCATTTCCATACTTGAACTGCAGGCGACGAATTTCGGGAAGCCTTTTTGGGCCTTCGCCGTGATCAGCAATACTCGACGACGTCGCACAGTTATGTGAAAAAGGACTCCGTTTCCATCCCCCAGGACTACGACTGGCGAGTATACGGTGCTGTTGGGCCAGTGCTGGATCAGGGTCACTGTGGTTCTTGCTGGGCATTTTCCGTCATCGGCAACATTGAGGGTCAATGGTTTCGTAAAACTGGTCAGCTCGTTAGTCTGAGCAAACAGGTAACTCTTGACATACTTTATATTGATGGGTTCCATGTTCAAGCATCTCCTGTAAAAAATAAGTCTTTTTCTTAATTGGTGCAAATCCAGTCAGGAGTTGTACTCTCTTGAAGGTTTCAAGTCTTCTAGATTAGAAATTTTGTTCTTTGGACTAAAACACCTTACGCGGCATAATTTTATTCATGTGCGAAAACGCCACAAATATACAGACTGTATCAAATGGTTTGTCAAATAAAAGCAGTCTATTTCGTTTTCTTCGTGTGCGACGTGCTCAGAATTGTAAATCTGCTGTGCGATAACGTCAGTCACTGAATAGTGCGACACTGAAAATGGGTCTATCACGCCATTTGTTACCTGAAATGTGGAGCAGTGTCTGGGAGAAAACTCTCATGGATGTCAGAGAGTTGGTGTAAAATCTAGTGTCTGATATAGTATAAGGGGTCCTCATTTTCAAGAATCCGTTCTCCAGGAAGTCTACCCGGGAAATTTGATTGCAACCGTTGAAACCACCAGTTTGAGTCATGTCTGTTCAACGTTAGAAATTTGCATCTTCTGAGGCAGGAATTTATTACATGCCTTGGCTGCCAAGAGGATGACCTCTTCGTTGGTCTAATCCTTTGTTGATCCTGGGTTGCAGTCTAAGCCCACCAGTTTTAATAAGCCCCTAGTTTACATTTGTCTTTTGACCATACGCGAAAACAGAAGCTACCTGTAGTCGAGTGGAGGATGGGACTTGGATGGAGATTTCGGATGGTGAGTGAATATAAAGGGTTGAATAAACTAGAAATGCCATGCAGTCAAATTAGCCCGATAGAAACACATTCATCGGGCGTGGTTTGAGAAATACCAACGACTTAATGTAAAACCTGTTCCAAAAAGCAAAACAGAGTTGTATAGCCTGAGAACTATTACCCAGAACCCAATAAAAACTCTACGTCCTGTAATTGTTTTTTATTTGTGTACAGCCAGTGCGTGATGTTCCTTCACCTCTTAAGCGCAATGAGGAATATGGGGAAAATCCATGGGCTTAGAAGTATCAGAGTCCTTTAACGCGATCCTAGCAATTAAAAGAAAGAAAAAGAGCAACTTGTGAGTTTCAGAGCTTACAAAAGATGGGAGAACTTTTGCCGTTTGTGATGTATTTGCTCCAAAAGGTAAGTCTTCCTTTTTATCCGATGGAAGATCCACAGTCAGAGCCTCTCCAGAGCACTAAAAATTTTTTTTTGCTATACTGCCTGTAAAATGTTGTAGAACCCACAAGGTTACAATCCGTGGTCCCTAATTGCCGATGTGATTCATTTTCTCGAGGTCTGCTCAGAGTATACTGGTGAGATTAAAAATCTCCTCGAAAGTTTTTGATACCCAGACCTAACGCTTCGCAGATCTGAATCAGCCTCTTCCATAAAGTGGAAGCACTTAGAGATGCTTATTTTTACAGCCATACTTTGGTAGCTTCTTGCAATTTCTTGAATATTCAGTTGGTATCAGGCGGAGAAGATGCGAAAAATAGTATGATTCTGTCTTTGATGGTACTCCGTGAAAATGCAGATTGTTTAAATGTAACACACTATTGATAGCGTTGCTGAAAACTCCTCAACAGTCCACGACTGGTTTCATCATTTTTGGGGCATATGAGCCAGTCACAGTCCTCAAGTTTACGTTGACCTTATGGAATTAAACCCTAAATGGACACATTTCGACAAATGCTTCCAGACATACATCATTGCACACCATCATTACCATTAATTTCCCTCCTAATTCAGTTGAGCCTCCCATTAAAACTCCACTAGTGTGTAATTGAAACTATTTGGTGAATCATCTTTTTTAGTGGAAACACTGACTCTGCACGAAGGTATGCGCAAAGCATAGCGATGCTTGCGGTCCTGTTTATGAGCGTCAAACGGTCAGCTAAGGATACGCGTGAGCTTCGCAACTACTTTCTGAATATAAATATAAAAACTAGTGAAAATCGCTTCCTGGTTAATGAACTTAACAGCCTTCCCATCTTGCTGAATCGAATGCTGAGTTCATTCTTGTTCATTCCCTTTTATCATGTATCGATCTTTTGTGTTTTGATGATGAACTCTACTGAACATAACTGTGAATCTGACAGATTGATCTTTTTCCTCCTAAGTTCTCAGCTGCAATCATTTTTCTGTTCTCTCGTGATTTGCTCTGAAGTCTTGCAGAAATGTTATGCACAAGCGAGTTATTTTTTATTACTTTGATATGCTTGGAGCCCCTGCATCATTATCATTATCATCATCACCATAATCATCATCACCATCATCATCATCATCATCGATATCATCATCATCATAATCATCGCTAGCGGAAGTAGCACTATCAGTTCTGTCAACATTATCTGCTCCGCAGCGTCTATATTCAACACCACTACTTTCCAGTTCGACAATTGCTGTCTTGTCTAGTAGCATGCTGTGAATTCTTCACTCATCCTGCATGGCCCATTGATTACTCTTCTTCTTCTTCTCCGAATTCAGCAACTCGTCGATTGTGACCGATCCAGCCGTGGCTGTAATGGAGGTTATCCTCCAGCAACCTATGAGAGCATCAGGCGAATCGGCGGCCTTGAAATTGAAGCGGACTATCGATACACCGGTCATGATGGAGTGTGCCACCAGAATCCGGGGAAATTTGTAGCTTATGTGAACAGTTCGGTGGCTTTGACAAACGACGAGAATACGATTGCGGAGTGGCTGTCTTACCATGGACCGATAAGCATGGCACTTAATGCAAGACTGTTGCAGGTACACTTGCTCTTGACTGTTGGTTATACCTGAAAAGCCCACAAACCATGAAAGTTAAATCTCAGAATGTTCTGTACAAGACCTACTTTATGTAATAATGGCTTTACATAGAAATTACAATTACAATTACTGACAATATATACTGGGCCTACATCAATGCTAGGGTAACGCGTGTCGAACTACTTTACTTCCAAAATCCCGAAAAGTTATTTAACTGACAGCCATTGCTATTTCGTATTTGTCTTGATAACTTCCTCGTCAGTCCACAGTACAAAACTCGTAAATATCCACGTACGAGTGTATATAAGGACAAGGAAAATATGATCCTTCCTAGATGTGATGGTAGTATAAGATCCAAAAGTCGCTCGGGCTTCGGACAGACACCTGTGGTCAGCAACTTTTTCAGAACGAGTCGTTAAGTTTAGGCAGCCTTAGATGGTGGCTCAGCTATCATTCGCTTGGGGAACATTTCTTCCCTCTCTCTAAAACAGCTTGCTCGATTATTTTGCATTGCATGTCGTCTAATGATGGAGCTGCCTCTGCTTTGGCGCCTTCGTCAGCAAAACTGACAAACAGCTTTCAGGAACTGTAGACAAACACACTCAGTGTTTACTACTTCTCACCCAACAGATAGCACACACCTGCCAGCATGCCGCGTGCATTCAAAACTTACAGGTCGCGGGTCACAAAGTAGTAAGAGGTCATCGGTCCGGTGCTGGATTACACAGGGACGATCCTCATCAACAAAAAACATTGATCTTATGTACAATCGAAGTGTTGGCAAGGCGACCATGCCCTGATTCACCACACCTTGTTACCTGGGGTCATTTACATTGTTTGAAATTTCCATTGTTATTTCGTCTGCAAAATAAGTTTTTATAATTTTTGAGCTTGTGGCGTCTGAGGTGGCTGCATCGTGTAACGTTGAACTCTTTTCTTTATAATGAGCTGATTAAGGTGAGGCAGTACATGACACGCTCTGCTGTCTAATAATGAGCTATTAAGGTGAGGCAGTACATGACACGCTCTGCTGTCTCCTGAGCTCACTATGTACTTTTTTATAAATCCAACATTGTCTGTTACGATGTGCGAATTTGTTTTTTTTCCTGTCTGCAGTTTTACGTTTCGGGAATTATACATCCACCATCCGCCTATTGTCCAGTTAAAGATATCAGTCACGCCGTGTTAGCTGTTGGCTTCGGAACTAAAGACAATATGCCATTCTGGATAATAAAGAACAGTTGGGGGACAGTTTGGGGTGAAGAGGTAGGTTGAGAAATCGATTTTTTTAAACCTAGACATGAATCCTAACATTCTTTTCTGAGAAATTATTGAACACGAGTAGATGGTGTGATTTTGCCTCAAATCCACTTTCGAAGAAATTTGTGCATGCATGCGATACGAATCAACAGCCATGCAACCCTCGTGTGTTATTTCCTGCAACAAAAGTTGACGTAGTGATTCTAGCTAGATAGGGTTGCATTTTTTTCTTTCGAAATGGCAAACTATTGCCGAAAGAACTGACCTTCGGTGTCCATGAGGTTGAAAATGAACAAGACTATAGGCAGAAATCTTTGATCAACGCAAAACCGACAAAGTTCTGTCCACACTTATCGCTACTTTCGTGTCTGACATGGATTGATTTTGGAACCCTTGAACACCGTGGACACAACACATATAACTATTGTCCACTTACCCGGAAGCCCTCATGTTAGGTATGCTTCACCATCCTCCCATGATTATTCACTGTAGAGGATGAATTTTCACAAATAATCTGCAAATCGTGATCAAACGGTAATTCTTCCGGAAACACGGGCAACCTAGTGGTCACCTTTTGCTGAAAACAACCTTTGAGAGAAACTATCTCCCAAACAGATGGGATATTCCACAATGTGACTCCCATGTTTGTTTTGATAACAACGATATTATAATATTGTATGCATAGGCCCCGCATATCAGCCTTGGTTATGCCGTCCTAAAAATAAACCCCGCAACAATCAAGTGTTACCACATTCGTTGGCAGTTTTTCTCTGCCGGCACTATGCAAACGAATGCCAACAAAGAATCGAAATTCCCCGCACTCGAGGAAGTTGTAAATCGCGGAACACAATAGGAGATATCAGGAATGTTTTTGATCCAGGAACTTGGGAACATTGTACTATTCATACGCTAATCGTTTCATCACATCACTGTGCCCGCATTCGGTTATTTAGGAAGGTTATTCGGCCAGTG